AAATGCAAACATCTGGTAATTGCATGATAAAATTATGTGCATTTGCTTCTCTTGCTGCTTCTTCAATTTCATCTTGTGTTGCATTTAATTTACCAAAACGAATATTTTCATAGATAGTCATACCAAACAGAACCTTTTACACAACGAAGGAAATAGAATGTACAAAAGGAGTAAAAAGAAATAGGCATACAGGTTCTTGACTAACAACGCCAATATTTTCACGAAGATACTGAACGTTATAGTCTGTTATTGGCTTACCATCGATCGTAATTTCACCAGATGAAGGTTCATAGTAACGAAGAAAAAGTGATATGCATGTACTTTTTCCTATGAAAATAATCGTGAACATAGTTTAGATCAGTTTAGCAGGCTGCTTGTTGTTTTGAAGAAAGCTTACCGCATCCACTGGAACCAACGAGAGCTGTTGTCTGTCCAGCACGAGCAACGACAGAGAGATTACATAGAACTGGTGCATCTTTTCGAGACGGATAATGAAAATTAACATTATGAAATTCGATATCACCATTGATGTTACAACGCAATTCTGTATTATCTTCCCAAACTTCTGCTTCATTGATATTTTCATCTTTTCCCTTGTTTGAAGAAAAATAAATAAATGTAAAGCCTAAATATGCTCGTAATTACTTCATCAATAAGTCGAAACACTGATGCTGCTGCACCTCGCGCTTCTGAAAATGCTTGAACGAATGGACCAATAAAACTGAAGAAACCTAAACATTGCGAAATGATGGAGACGATCTATGTTAAGAATATGAATGCCAGATTAATTCGCCATTGATTAATTGAGGGAATTACTCACAATAAGAATGTCACTAATTGTGAAAGTTTTCCGATTTTTTTCCGTCATCAGAAGAACACCAAAAATGAAACCAGTTGCATAAACTATGTAGGTTATCAGAGATATCCATCCAATAAAAACACCGAACAAAGCGCCTTGACGTACGCCACCCCAACGAGTCGGAGCCAATTCTTTGTCATATCTATGTTCATGAACAATGCTATTTGAGAATATCCATTTTCGTGTATTCGTTTACCGTTTCTGCTCAAATTTGGCGCCGTTGAAAGAAAGAACCGTTCGCAGTGAACTAAAAGCTTCTTGAACGATTTGTCCCGCTTTGGCGTACGTCTTTAATTCATAGACTGTTTCATTGGCCGTGAGCTATGATAATACATAAAGATTTTATTGAGCAAACAATAATTTATACCTTAGAAAACACAAGTGAACTACCAATAACCAATGGTATCAAAAATAACATAATCATCGTTAATTTCCAGTTGACTGCGAAGGACATGATCAAGCAACCAAAAATGCCGGTTATCGTTGCAATCAATATTAAGAGTTCAATGCCGATGCCTTTTTCAATCTTCGCAATATTACTAAACAAGCACCAATTAAGAATGATTTCATTCACCATAAAATTATTATGGCTTACTCAAATAGTTTTGCATTCAATTGTGTAGCTTGGTTCGAATCCAGATACGGAATTCTCTAAGAATAAAAACATTGAAACAAATATACATGGTGATATCGGGTATGCGGATGCGCGTGGCTAGTAACGAAGCGGTGGATATATTCTCGCTGCTACTCAGATATGCCATTTCTATATTTGAAATCCCTAGAAATGATTAGTTTGGCCAACTGTTCATTATTCGATAGCGGTAATTGCGTAAAAGGGAAGTGCGTATGATGTGTTAATTAAGTTTATATAAACATTAAAATAAGACTTGAACTGAGAACGTAGTTGACTTACGCGTTGTGCAAGTGATTTAAAGAGTGACACACTCATACGATATGTCTGCCTTTTGATAGTCCAGTTCCAAAGAAAACTTTCTATTGATGAAACCAGAAATTCCACAGCACCAATAACTACATTATTAGAGATAAAAAAGATTGCTGTTTGATTTTACAATCCAATCAGTTCGTTGATTTCACTTACTGAATAGCCAGTACACTAGAGCCATTACGTTATCCCTAAATACAAACTGCGATCGAGATAAGCCTGATGATGCAATTATACCACTATCATTTCGTAGTCTAACATAAGAGAGAAAGCCAAAAGGAAATACAAGAAATGTATGCACACCAATGATCGTCTTCAACGATAATTACTTATGAGACTGTGCATTGCCGAATGCTTGCAGCTCTATGCCTTGAAGAACTGCATTCTTTCTATGAATAGAAGCTGTTGCATTTTGATTTGAATTATTACAATTGCTAGCATAAGAGTCAATAGCAAATAATCCTGTGAGTTGACCGTAAAGAAATAGATTTGCGAGGATGCAACCAGCGTGTATTATTATGAAAAACATAGCAGTACACATCATTATCCAATCAAAAGTGTTTGCGAATTGAAACTGTAATAAAATAAAATTTATAAACCAACTAGTATTCATTCTAAATATACTTACTAATCGAAGAATATCGACTGGTTCATCTTTTTCATCATGTTCATTGTTTTCATTTAATTCTATATATTTACCTTCACTTTTTGTCCTAGTGAAACATCGACGCCAGTCATCCAAACTATAAACAAAATCACAATTTTATTGTAGTTTTTTCCAATCTAATTATTTATTAATTCATACCTTTTACTCAATGATTTTTTCTTGTTTTCATTGTCATCATTATCAACACCGGAAGACAACTTACCGGATGCGTTCAACAGAGGCTCCTTATCACTCATTGCATTGTCTTCTCAAACAAAGCTACCATGAAAAAAATCTAAAAAGAAAAATTTGCACAAAGAATCACTAACGAGTTATCTCTGATGGTTTAGTAATCACTCATCCGTTACGTTTCGTTTTCTTGTTCTGCTCATTATTAAAACAAAAAGACATATTCACTCAAGCGGTTGTCTAATCATTCGTGAGCACAAATATAAGATATTATTTTGATTGATAACTAGACTTATGTGTATATGACATGCATTCTCGTTACCTGGCCTGCATATATCAACAAAATAAGAATAAAACTATACTTAACATGCTTAAGAGAAAATAGACACTATGAAAAGCAATCATCATAATATAATAGATATTGACGCTACAATGACAAACCTATTGTAAGCTACCAAGTAGATAAAAAAATATGTTTGAATCGAAATGATTCACAATCTGAGACACCCACGCTTTTTATATATTGTCTTTTACTCGTTATTAGAACTAATCAATTTTATCAGAACTATGTGGGGGTTTAAAAAGAGTGCAAAATGGTATATTCACTTATTTTACACAACATAGAGGATGAAAAGAAAACAATGCTGCTATTTTTCTTTGTTAATAGATTTTGTTATAATGAAATGATCGAAAAAGAATTTTGAAAATACTTCTCATGTGTTATCAAAACTTTATCTGAGGAGTGTCCAAGGACTGAGGAATGGAAATTCTTCCAATTCCTCCAAACATCAGCAATAAACAGAAAAACACTCGAGGAATTGGTAATTCTCCCACAGACATTAAATGAATCCCTACCAATACCCAGACATCTCCCTAACCAACAGCACAACATACAATGCCTTCTCTGTAACTATTAGGGGTGATATCTTCACCCTTCTCTTTATTGAGAAAAACGATAACTACCTAATAATTAACAAACCAAACGAAACGAGAAAACAAACACACATCTCTCTCTCTCCTCCCCCGAGAGGACAACAAGAATATATATGTATATATATATATGACGATAGATGTGGCGGATGACTCCCATGTAAACACGAAACGCAGAATCGATGCGTTGAAACGCGGAAAACGGTTTTATAATGCGTTCCAATGAGTTTTCAGTATGAAACGCATTGAGAC